CTGATCCAAGACCAGCCTGTTGGATTACAGACGTTTCTGCTGAGACTCTGAGGATAAAAGTCCGTTTCAGGGGCGATCCGGGTCTTCAGACATCACAGGTCGTCAGAAACGTGGAAAAAAATCTCTCAGTGAAAATCCGGAAGTTGATTTAAAGAGGCATTATGGAAGTGTGACAGCCAAAACATGTATAGAAATAATAAATGTCTTCTTCATACATTCTCCTGCGATGCCCTGGTCCTGTAGAATGAGCCCTGGCATTTTTACTGTGATTGCCTGTTTTTCTGTAAAATCACAGAAAAAGAGAGATGCTCGGGTCGAGCAGGCTGCTTCGTGCGTGTTCACGCTCAGGCATAGCCCGTAGCATTTGCTATCCGTAGATTTAGCAGCAGAGAGAGAGGCAGTGCCACTTTGTCGCTGTTCCTAACGCCTAGTGACAAAGCTAGCTACATTTCTGAGGACCCTTAGCTACTTTCTGTAGAACTTTCTTCTAGATATTTCCTGCAAATTAGCAACAAAATAGCCATTTTTGCTCCGAACCGTCCTTTGAACATTGTTTCAGCTGTCATCAAGGATATAAATGTTACAGATACAATAGATGTCACTGGTGCTTTAGCTCACACCTAGTAAGACATCAGACTCCTGTGCGGTAGACCTGGGTTTGATTCTGGATGTGAACATAGTTCATTTAGAGTTTATTTTTTACATTAATGGTATATTTTTTTACAGTAAGATGCCCAAATTTTTATTTGAGACTCGCCGAATGGCATTGAATTCACAGACAAAAAAGATGTGGGTTCAACTTTCATTTTGGAACAATTTTTCAAGCAAGGGAAGGGAATGATCTGAGCATGCAGGAGGACTGACCCATCATAAACCTTTGTCGGCTGTGCTGAAGAGAAAGGTACAGAACCAAATTATTTAATTAATTAGCTGCACGTTCTCCTGTCCTCTGTCCTCCAACACGCACGCACGCACGCACGCACACACACACACACACACACACACACACACACACACACACACACACACACACACACACACACACACACACTGACCTTCACCCCCAGGCCAGCGGGGGTGAGCTGCTGGTTGTTGCGCTCGTTCAGACCGTCCTCCCCCATCAGAGAGGTGAGGTGCTGCAGACAGTCGGTGTGACCCTGAGAGGCGGCGATGTGCAGCAGGTTGTTCCTGTCCTCGTCTCTGATCAGCTCCAGGTTGTCCGCCGCCAGGTGAGGCTGGGGGGGGGGGGGGGGGGGGGGGGGGGGCAAATGATGTTTCACATTTCCAATAAACGATAAGTGAGGAGGAGGAGGAGGAGGTGACGAAGACCCAAACCCACCAGCAGGGAGATCTGCCCCTCCCTGACGATGTTGATGATGTTCTGGCTCTTCTTGGTCTCCTCGTCCACCTCCCCCCTGGACCCTCCTGCTGCGGGGGTCCGGGTCTTGGAGCCGTCCTGCCTGGCTGAGCTGCAGCCTGGCAGAGGGAACATCAGCCCACCGGGAGGTTCCGCTGCTGGTCTCTGGCTCTGGGAGTCCGGGAAAACCCGAGCGGACAGCAGCTTGTCTGCAAACAGAACCGCTCTGGTCAGGAGGCTCACTGGGAGGTCAGGAAGAGAGAAGAGGAGAACTTTACAAGTCAGACCTGCGTCGGTGAAGGAGGAGAGGGATGAGGAGCAGCTGAGGAGACCCGAGGAGCTCGGCTCCGGTTGGAAGCCTCCTCCACCGGGGGAGCGATGCAGGTGATGGAGGTCCGGATCCATGGACTTGGACTTCCTCAGATCCGACCACTTGACCGGAGACAGAACACAGTACTGCAGGGACAGAACAGATGGGTTCCTTAGAGAGGCGGGACACCTGGAACAGGTGGGAGACAGCGGAGGACATGTCCGACTCACTGGCGCCTGTGAGCTGCTGCTCAGACTCAGAGGTTCCTTGTGGAGCAGAGCCGAGCCCGTGGGCCCGCCGCTCCGGTTCCGCTCCAGGGTTCCCCCGCCCACCGAGCGCTTGTCGTGGGGGACGCGGGGCAGCGTGGACATCTGCTGACTGGACTTGATATAAGGCACATCCAGGATCTCGTCCATGTCCAGATCGTAGTGTTCCAGCTCCCCGAACAGAACCTGCGGGCCCACGCCACCGCCCTTCCCCTTCCCTCTGGAGCCGTCGGAGGACGAGGACGCGTACGTCTGCTTGTCAGAGACGGGGTCATCCTTCCCGACCTCGCTCTGCTCCCCCAGAACCAGCCCCTGGTTCTGGACCTTCCTGTCCAAGTCCGAGTCTGTGGTCTCCGGCTGGTGCTTGAGGGGGGACACCCTCTTCACCGGTCGGAACTTACTATGGACCTCAGCGAGTCCTCCGCCGCTGTGGGAGGAGACGCCGCGGCTCCAGGTGATGGCCGGAGCTGCAGGGGGGGACAAAAGCATCTTACAGCAGCGTAAATTCCTGATCCAGTCCTCGGATTATCCCGGTTCCATTCCCAGCAGCCAGACCCGGCGTGGATCGGTCTGACTGCTGGGAAGCAGAACGTCCACAGGAGACGGATACATCTGGAACATTTGACAGAGAAAGAGGAGAAACGTGGTTTTGTTACCGGGTCTCTCCTCGGCCGGACCATCGCTCCTTCTGGACAGCTCTGGGATGCTCTTCAGAGACGAGACGGAATACTGAAAACACAAACTGGGTGTGATCTGGTTGTTTCTGCGTGAGGCGTGAGAAGTGCAGATCTGACACGAACCACTGGATCATCAGAGAAGTCGATCTCATCCAGGTCCAGGTACTCAGGAGCCTCCATCTTCACACCGCATCATCAGCCTCCTGACCAGCTGCAGACGACAGAAACGCTCTCAGAAATCCCTCCATTCCAGACAATCCCAATCCCAGATCCCAGACAAACACACGGCCGGCTGCTCCGATACCATCAGTGGGAATAAAACACCGGAAGTGGCGGCAGGAAGCCGACCACAGTCCTGCTAAAACGTGCCTTATCGTGGTTTTCCGACCCAGACTGTAGAAAGGAAGTTATGGGAATATTCATTAATGTAGGTTGGATTAGCATAATTCCCTATAATAATAATAATAATAATAATGATAATAATAATAATAATAATAAAAAACTTCCCCAACAGCTCAGATCTAAAACTGTCTGAAGCTCCAGGCCGACAACAGCCCAAAGCTGCAGGGATCAAAGGGAACAAATAGCCGGATAATCAGGATTAATCTGGGATTAACGCGACTCACATGCAGCCTGACCCGACACCTGACCAGCTTGAACCCGACCCAGAAGAACCAACGCCAGACTTTTACCGTTTGGTCTAATAAACACACCGAAATCCGTCTCCAAGGTCAGTAATCTGATTACTCAGAGGCTGAAGTTAGTTACCACACCTGCTCCCGGTTGAGTTCGGAGCCGGAGTCTTCCAGAGACACCAGCTGGCGACTAAACCGTACCGGTGGGCGGAGCTGCGCGACGTTACGTTTGAGCGCCGCCGTCGTCACGCCGCTTTGATGTCGGACTCTTCTCTTCTAACATCGCAGGTTCCTGGTAGGTCGCAATCCACCAATCGTAATCCTTCTCTTACTCAGACTGCCAGCAGACATCAGTGGTAACGTGCGATTTAGCCGTTTTCTAAAAATCAACATCATACCGTGCCGTGATTGGTTCCAGCCAGACACGCCAGAACAGGAGGAGGCACTTCTGACCTATCCACCATTATTTACCTGAGCAGGTGTGTGTGTGTGTGTGTGTGTGTGTGGGTGGGTGGTTAGGGTTAACCCTAATCCTGTAACCTCCTGGATTAGCTTAAGCTAATTTCAGGATGCTAACAGAGAATACGGCGAAAACCTTGTAGGATAGATGCATTTGAAGGGATTTGGAAGGATTTCGTTAGTTTGATTTGTTGGATTGTGGACACAAGACCTGATGTGGACAAACTAGTTTACTGGAGGACATTATTTGGACCTTTGTGGACGTAACCCAACCATTTTGTTAGAGATGGCTCTGTTCTGTCACTGATGAGGCTTCGAACGTTCAGCTGGACGTTGCTCTGCACTACCGACTGATTTGGCCCAGGGGAACGTCATTTACCTCCCGTGGAACGTAAAAGGCAGACAGGTTGATTATCCACGCGGCGGCTGCAGAAGTTGAGGTGATATTCTACTGATCTGTGAGTGAAAGCTCGTGCAGCTCTACTGGTGAGAGTCTGCACATCATCGGAGTCCGGCGGCCGAGTTGTGACATCGTCACAAACCAAGCCCCCACAACGCGGCTCTAAAATTGAGGCAAACCCGGAAATGAAATAAATTGCAGTTCCACCCTCATCCACTAGGGGCTGGTGTCAGAAGCGAGCAAATCCTCATTGACTCCCATGTTAAAAATATCAATTTCACAGCAGAAATAAACATGTTTACAGCCTGGTACCAAAACATGTTTTTGGTTTAAATGATCTAGTTTACACTCATGACAACTCTGAGGGGGGTGAATTGTTTTCTCACTCTTCTGTTTAAGTGTATTAAAAGCCTAAAATTCTGTATAATTAATGAGCATCAGACCCACGTGACCACAGAGCTAGCTCCGTGGAAAGGCCTCAGTAGAGCCTCGGTCTGGCCTGGAAACTGTTCCGGGATTTTGAGTCTCTGTGTGTGTGTATTCTTGTTTGGATATTTTTGTGCAATTGTTGGACAAAATGACTTGCTGTGGCATTAATTGCACTAATAGAGCGTCCAAGGAGTCTCCACTTCATTTTTTTCGGTAAGTAAAATTATATTTATGTATTTTAGGTCACTGCCGAGCTGAGCTTAGATTTTAACATGTACTGTTTAACCATGAAATTTAAATGTAATAGGGTAAAACCCAGTGCATTTAACATAATGCTGCACTTTAGAAAATGGGTTGAAATATAACATGTTGGTGGAGCTGGGTTCCCACTATCGGCTTGTGGAGCTCTCGGGAGACCGATGTTTTCCACCCGTTCTCCCCTCCCCGCAGCTCTGCGCATCTCTGTCTGATCGCGGCTCCTGACTGCTGCGCGGGCTGCCGGCTTGTGGAGGTCTCGGAGACCTCTGTGTTCCACCCGGTTTTACCCAGCGGTCAGCCCGGCGTATCTCTGACTCAGAAGCTCTGGTGTTGTGCACAGTTAACTCCGGTTGTAGCTAGGTTGCTACCTCCGTTAGCTTAGCTCCCACCTCCGCGTTAGCTTTGGGTTAGCCAGGGTTAGCTTGTAGCTAGTTCGACCGGGTGTCGTCAGTTGATCCCAGCCTTACAGCCTCACCCTCAGCTCCACCTCTCTTCCCTTTTATGGAATTGTCTGGGCTTGACGGAACCTGTGACACGGTCAAAATGGCGGTGGTGGCCACCTCCCATTTGGCCTCAAAAACGTGTTATTGGAGCCTATGGAAAGGAGATGTCCAGTATATTTAATGTCGATGTCACAAACCCAAAGGACCTGACACCAGCGTGGAGTTTATAGGATCATAGATGGAGCCTTCATCTGTGTGTGTGTGTGTGTGTGTGTGTGTGTGTGTGTGTGTGTGTGTGTGTGTGTGTGTGTGTGTGTGTGTGTGTGTGTGTGTGTGTGTGTGTGTCACAGAAACCACATTGCTGACTGATTAATGACCAGCATCAGAGCTAAATGCAGCTCCAACATGCTGACTGCTCAGACCTCCGTCATCAGGTGGAGGAGCTCCAATAAGATCCAGATGTTCCGTAGGAGTAGATCAGAGGATCTGCTGACCGGAGATCTGTGATCCGAAACCCGCCTCCTGCTGGACGACCAGCTGTTTGATCCTGGTTTATAGCAGACTAACAGCGTTCTCCTACAGAGGTCAGAGGTCGCTGCTTCCTGGTAAAAGTTCCCTCTTTTCCAAAAGGATCAACAGGAATGTTCCAGAGTTATTAAACCAGTGGGTTCCAATGGTCAGACAGATAAAAACAACTTCTGGTTTGGTCAGAAAACAACTATTTTCTAACTTCAAGTGTTTTCTGGCCACAGAACAAAAACAAACTTTCATGGATTCAAATAAACAATTCCAGAGACGGCCGCGGGACGTTCTGAGAGCAGCAGACTGAACGAGTCCAGCTGTTCCTGCGTGGGAGCGACCGCAAAACGACGGCGGCCAAAATAAAACACGAAAACCATCTAAGTGCAGCTTGGAGACGTAAACGTCTGTGATACCAGCAGCGTGGGTCCCAGGCAGCAGAGAGAGAGAGCAACAGCTGATCCAGGAAAACTAAATAATCTGAGATGAAGGATTTGGTTTGGGACTAAATCAGAAATAAAGGAGAAATTCACACATTTATATTTAAATTTCACTAGTTTCTTTACGTTTTACTCCGTTCTAGAGGTTTTATCGTAGCAACAGGATCTCTTCACTGACTTTATTAAAACAAAAAATTTTCTTTACATTTATTCCTTTTTTTACTTTTCAGTTTTTTTAATGTTTTCCTCTTAAAAGTTTTTCTCTCTTTTATATCGACTGTTGCTCATTTGCTACATTTTGTTAATTAACTTTAAAAAACTTTTTCAAATTTTTGTTTGCATTAAAGGGACTTTACGGAGTTTTGTATTTTATGCTCGTGATTGCCCCCTCAGGCCAAAAGCGTAACGGCAGCTTCCATAGTAGGCTCGTGCACGAGGCGCGCATGCTGTACGTGCACACTCCTTAACGAAAATAACAGCTGAGACAGTCCCTTGTGTGTGTGTGTGTGTGTGTGTGTGTGTGTGTGTGTGTGTGTGGTGTGTGTGTGTGTGTGTGGGGGGGGGGGGGGGGGGGGGCCCGGAGGACAGAGGACAGGAGAACGCACAGCTAATTAATTAAATAATGTGGTTCTGTACCTTTCTCTTCAGCACAGCCGACAAAGGTTCATGATGGGTCAGTCCTCCTGCATGCTCAGATCATTCCTTTCCCTTGCTTGAAAAATTGTTCCAAAATGAAAGTTGAACCCACATCTTTTTATCTGTGAATTCAATGCCGTTCGGCGAGTCTCGAATAAAAATGTGGGCATCTTACTGTAAAAAAAATACCATTAATGTAAAAAAGAAACTGTAAATAAACTATGTTCACATCCAGAATCAAACCCAGGTCTTCTGCACGAGAGTCCAACGTCTTACTAGGTGAGCTAAAGCACCAGTGACATCTTCTGTATCTGTAACATTTATATCCTTGATGACAGCTGAAACAACGTTCAAAGAACGGTTCGGAGTGAAAATGGCTATTTTGTTGCTAATTTGCAGGAAATATCTAGAAGAAAGTTCTACAGAAAGTAGCTAAGGGTCCTCAGAAATGTAGCTAGCTTTGTCACTAGGCGTTAGGAACAGCGACAAAGTGGCACTGCCTCTCTCTCTGCTGCTAAAGCTACGGATAGCAAATGCTACGGGCGATGCCTGAGCGTGAACGCGCATGAAGCAGCCTGCTCGACCCGAGCATCTCTCTTTTTCTGTGATTTTACAGAAAAACAGGCAATCACAGTAAAAATGCCAGGGCTCATTCTACAGGACCAGGGCATTGCAGGAGAATGTATGAAGAAGACATTTATTATTTCTATACATGTTTTGGCTGTCACACTTCCATAATGCCCCTTTAATGCTTATAAACTGTTTTGTTATTTAAAAAAACTTCAGGCTGTTTTTCTCTCAGACTTCAGCTGAAACACAGACACACTTTTCTGAGGAAATCCTTTGGTGCCAAACAGGAATAATAATAATTAATAATTTCTTGCCACTAGGAATAAAGATAATCGATGAGATAAAGCTGATGTAAGCTGAAGGTGAAAAGCTGGAGTAAAAAGGAAGAAAAAGCAGATTTCTGGGATTTTTACTTGAAAACACAGTTATTTAGGCTTTTATTTTGATAATCTTGTCAATAATTCTCTGACTGAGTGAATAAAAAACAATCAATAAATACCATTTTGAAAAGGTTACATCAGAAAAACAACAATAACAGTAAAAATTAAATGGAATGAAAATGTTTGTGATGCTTGTTATTTCTTTATTTAAATTAAATTACAGAATATGGAACGATCGGCTCTGATGGTTTGATTTATTTTAAAAAACTTACACCTGACACCTGAAGGAGAATTTTATGTGATTTTACCTTCATCTTTAACAAATAAATAAATATTAGTTAGCTGGTTGGTTGGTAACAGGATGAGTAGTAAACGGTAATGATATCAAAGAAAGATTCTGCTTTTTTCTGTGATAAAACTGTTTTTTAGACAACACAGGCAGAAAAACGCCTCCAGACTGGCTGATTAAAGCCTACTTTTATATTTTTGCAGCTGAAGACTAAAACAAGATCCCTTCTGACCCGTTCCTCTGCTGACAGTTGATCTAATCCAGGAATAATCCCGATTCCTGCTCCTCGGGCAGCAGCAGCAGGGTCATTAGCGTCAGGCTAAAGATGCTAACAGGCCAACGGGCTAACCGGGCAGGCGGCAACAGAAGCGGGTTAAACAGCACCTGGAGTGGAAACGCGGTTCGGTTCGGACACAGGTTCGGTTCTGAGAGGCGGTACCTGATTGAAGTCAGAGAGGAGCCGGAGGAATGACCCGGTTGGGGGACGACTGGGGGAGCCAGCGGAGCCGCTAGCCGGAGAAATTCTTGGAACCAGCTGTTTTTTTTCCTGCTGTCGCCGCGAAGTCCTGAAAAGCACAAAGACCCGGAGATAGGAGGAGGAGACAGGAGACAGGAGGGCTCACTCTGCTCACTTCTCACAGAGCTTTCTGTTAGCGCAAATAAAGTGTTTAAAACGTAAATAAATACCACCAGCAAAGTACCCTAAACTAAAATATAATAATAACGAATAGAATAGAATAGAATTTATTGACCCCACGCAGGGGAAAGCCACTTGCTTCAGCGACACATACACGTCGAGAAACGAAAAATTTAAATAATAAGATTACAAGTAAACACACAATGGCAGTAAGCTATTATTGTAACCTTCAACCACTAAAAACAACAAATAAAAAGGAAACGTGTGCTTCCAGAACTATGCAGCATAAGGGACACAGACATACTATTGTACTTCCAGTATTGCAGAAGTATTGAACACACGCTGCATATTGAATTGGTGTTATTGTTTACCAGGATAATGCCAGTACCAGTTACACTGAGGAGTTCTACACTCTTACAGCAGAGGGGATGAATGACCTACGGTAGCGTTCTGTTTAACATCTGGGATGTCTCAGTCTGCCTCTGAAGGAGCTGTCCATGGTCTCCACAGTGGAATGCAGTGGGTGGGAGGGGTTTTCCAAGATGGAGATCATCTTAGTGATCACATAGTGAGGATCTGCTGGGAATGCCTGGCAGAAGAACCTGTCAAGACGATCTTCAACTCCCACCTCCGGCAGAGCTTTGACCGCGTCCCGAGAGAAGTGGGGGGCATTGACTCCGAGTGGGCCTTGTTCCACTCTGCGATTGTTGAGGTGGCTGTTGCTAGCTGTGGTCGCAAGGTGGCCGGTGCCAGTCGTGGTGGCAACCCCTGTACCCGCTGGTGGACACCAGAGGTTCGGGGAGCCGTCAGGCTGAAGAAAGAGGCCTACAGGGCGTGGCTGGTCTGTGGGTCTCTGGAGGCAGCAGACAAGTACCGGATAGCCAAGCGGGGTGCAGCAGTGGCAGTTGCCAAGGCAAAATCTCGGGCATGGGAGGAGTTTGGTGAGGCCATGGAGAAAGACTATCGATCGGCTCCAAAGAGGTTCTGGATAACTATCCGGCGCCTCAGGAGAGGAAGGCAGCAACTCGCTCACACTGTTTACAGTGGGGATGGGGAGCTGCTGACGTCAACTGGGGCTATAGTCGGACGGTGGAAGGAATACTTTGAGGAGCTCCTCAATCCCACCTACGCGCATTCCGAGGAGGAACCAGAGCCGGGAGACCTGGGGATGGACTGTCCAGTCTCGGGGGCAGAAGTTGCTGAGGTAGTCAAACAACTACACAGCGGCGGAGCCCCGGGGGCGGATGAGGTTCGTCCTGGGTATCTCAAGGCTATGGATGTTGTAGGGCTGTCAT